CAGTCGCTCCATATATCGGTTGTAAAGCTTAACGCGGGGATGGTTTACAAACAGAGATGAACTTACACATTTGCTTTACTTCTCTCTGGGATAACTTCCTCGGAGATGAAATGCCGGATTGGTAGCGAGGCTACAAATACACACAGCCGCTCTATCAGGTGCTACGGTTATGAGCCGAGTTACGCCGTGTCGCAAGTTTTGTGAGGTGCTTTTTTGATATTTAATGGATCGGATTACATTTTTTATTTCTCTCCGATATCCGATCCAGTAATTTACGTCAGTATCGGACTGATACGTAATATCGGATCGGTCCATCTCTAGAACCTACAATTCACTACTAGAACACTACTAGTCTGACATTTCCTTAGAACCTGATGTTCCTCTAATGTGAGTGGCCCCAGGTGATAGTAAAGTTGTATTGGAGATTTTCTTTACCCATTGCAGCATGATGCCTCGTATTATGGAGCGTCCACACAGCACCAGCGACAGCATGCAGATCAGAACCACAATAATATCAAATGCCAAACGTGCGTACGTCTGAACTGGAGGTTAAAGAGGAGAAAAAAAAGAGATGTGAGCAGTCTGTCTCCTCTTCATGGCTGCAGTCTAAGCCTACTGCTACACACTTCTGTATAAATAACTTCACTCATTGTAACTTCCTGTTGGCTCATTATTGTGAACTACAAACAACTTTGTGATATTTTGTAACACCTTTGCTTACATGTTTCTAGTTTCATCACTGGTATCATATTTTGCTTGCTGTACTACTTGCACAGTAGTCCCATGACCACTAACAGATGCTTCTTCTTTTCTGTTCTCTCACCTTGTCCAGAGATGCTCGGGTCTTTGCACTCCTTTATTGACGCCTGGTTGTCTAGCCGGATCTTCACCTTGCCACTATGAGCCTTGTTGTCCAGAACTATCTGTAAAAGAGAGAAGAAGGTTTTAAATGACGCACACAGCTCGGCCTGCGAGCACAGCAGCTGTTTAAACCTGTTTGCGAGCGGCAGTCAACTGGAACTAAAGAGTAAACTTACACGGCTGGTTTCATAAATGGACTGCGCTGAGGCTGGTTTGTTTGTTTTCACTTTAACTCTTTCCCCCATATTCGACAACCTCCCCCTGTAGCTTCGATACCCTAAGTTATATCAGTAAAGACTTGGTTTGACAACCATTAGAATAGTTTCTGGGTTCTTCCAAGGGTAGATGTATGGGGAAAGACCACCCTCACTAAATTCTAATGCACAGCCTGTAATGTTTTTCTAGCCTTGACATTTGACAGCTCAAGCATGTGTTGAGTCTGAAAGTCTTTAACTCACTGTTATATGAAAGGTGTAGCAGTCTGGGATCTCGTTGTTGATGATAGTCTGGATATTTATCGCCTTCAGCTGGAACTCTATGGTAACATTAATCAACCTGTTTTAAAAGAAAAAGAAAACAAACAAATGAACACAAAAACATCTAATTTCTAACAATGAAACCAAGGTGACTAAAAGAATGACCAGAGGCACACATGCAGGACAAGAAACACAACATGATTCATATCATATCTCTGTGGGTTTGAGTCGCTGTCCTTGTATACATGCTTGTGTTTGTTTGTTTGTCTATGTGTGCTGCAGAGGTATGTGATCATTAGATACCACGCAGATAATCTTGTCAACAAAGAGGAAACGAAGCCATGTGAAAAATGAAGCCGTACTTGTGGAACTTGAGTGTAAAGTTCTTGTAGTTGCTTGTGAGCGGACCCTGGGGGATCGTCATGGGGTTCACGCCAACACACTCTAAAGATTACAAACAAAGAAGAGAGAGGAATATCATGCTGAGAAACTACTGTCAAACTTGAATTTGCTTTCTTATTTTATATACAGGAAGCACAAGATCATTTTTCAACTGCTAATCTTTTTTCTTAACGTTGATAAACTGAATGAAACAGACACTGGCATGAGGAAGTAAGAAACTCTTAGGCTGTGCAACAACTTCTGTAATAGGAACTATCGTTATGACACATGTTTGATGTAATACGTCAAGAAAAGCTGGTGACTGGTAGTCCCTTTAATGCCCTCAATTTTAATCATTTATTGAAAGGAGGACAGCAATTTCAGACTTAACTGTATTGCTTTACAGCTTCCCCTGCTGATAAAGACCTCCTGTACACTGCACCAGCCTACTTTGTTAGTCATTGTTTAAATGACAGAAAGTCATTGTTTAAATTACTTTCTGTTATTTAAACAATTAAATAACAGAAAAGTTCCTGTTTTTAAAAAAATCTACTATAGATTTCCGTTTTTATAGTTGGTCGACAAAGAATGTTTTCTGTAAATCAACAAAAAAAAATAGACTTTCTGTAATTTAACACTTTATTTCTTGAAACTGAATCCCAAAGAGTTGGCTGCATTGTCGACAAGATAAACAAATTCTGCTTTGGAGAGAGAAAGTTCTTTGCGTTGCATATTATTACATCCAAAATACCATTAGTTGAGCCTGTTATGATCTATTGACCAGTCATGACTTGACAAAAATGACAAGACATTAGTCATTTAACTTAATTATTTGAAATCTGTGGGGAATGTACTGCTCTGTAATACAGCTGCTCCTCTGAGTCAAACTTTTCCTTTTAAAGTGACAGAACACATTGTGATGCCCACCTCAGGCAACAAATGCAACTGGGGACTTTTTGCAAATAACCACACTCTGCTTGACCTCTAATATGTGTGAAATCCTGCCCCTAACCACTTTCCATAGAAGAATTTTTTTTTTTTTTTTAATCTGGTCTCTCTCTCTCTCTCTCTGTAGTAATCTCTGCATTTTTCTTGCATTGTTGTAAAGTGGGAGCCCAGATTTCATTTCTTTGAGTGTTTGACAAAATTCTCAGCTGAACTACTTGGTACACAAAGGCAAAAACTCTTCATATGCAACCCGCCACCAGTAAACGTGAACTGTCATTTTACAGAACCAACGTCTTGTCACATCGAGAAAAAAATTTCACACATTAGCAGTTTGCAGAGGCGAGGACTCTGCAGACTGTACATACTGTTCTTTTGTACAGTGTAGTTCACGCTGCCTACCTTTGATGACACGGGGGTCTATGCTGAACGTGTCGTTGGCGGGGTCGATGTGTCCCTTCTTGTAGTACTGCTGGCAGAGAAAGAGGGCGCTGCCATTCTCGGCACGGTTATAGACATATGCATAGCGTCCCACTGTGGTCTCTGGCAAGGCCAGATACTGGGAAAAAGGATGAGATTAGAATAATTAAGGATTATCACTGGGTTTTATGAAGTGAAGAGAATACAAGCTTGCATAGAAACAGGCCACACATGTCTTAGCTTTCAGCTAATATCAGTACGATCAATACAAGAATGAAAGTCAAACACTTAACTTCGAGGGAATGGCGTTGCTGTCTGGAGTCAAATAAAACTGTCAGATTTTATGTTGTCAGCTTTCTACAGCTCACCAACTAAACTATGCACGTGCTGTATGTGTAGGCTCTGCCCTTTGTCTTCTAGTTATCAACCAAATAATGTAATGTCTTCACTGACCAACACCTTTTAGCCTTGTTCATACTGTAGATTTATTTGACTGTGACATTGAAATAACGTGAAAGCACAGGCAGAGAAACAGGAAGTGAGCTGTATGTCAGACCCACTGTGTGCAGATCTAATCAGCGTTGCTGACATCCTTGACAGTGACTTATTTTGTAAACCATGGTAATAAAACTTCATGAGGCTTACTTTCATATTTATACAGTCAAATTTGGGTATATAAGACTGAATGTGTGGAACAGGTGAGCAGTGAATAGCACTGATGATCTATTGCAATGCAAAGTTTGGCTGGAGAATCTCAGATTCTGGTATTTAAATGGAGGACACTGTGACATGGACCACACACCCAAACATTCGTGCAGATCAGTTTCTAACTTCACTCAGTGTTTATCTATGGGAATAAAGCGAGTACAGTAGCAAACCATACTCACGCTACAATGATTCCCATAGTGATCGCACCAAGTCAGAAAAAGAACCAGAGATTATAATTTAGCCCATGTTTGGGGAGAATGATGGAGACTTCAATAATATAAAGCAGAAAGTTTTCATGCTGTGGCTAATCAGGAAATTCTGTTTAAAAAGTTGTTTAATAAAGATAAACGGTTACAAATTTCAGTTAAAAAAAAAGATTATCACCTGATCCACGGCGTAGAAGATGTGGTCGTAGACGTCCTGCTGTGTGTAAACGGCAAAGGAGTCATCTGAGGACTCATCGTAGTCCTTGAGGAAGATGTGCTTGAAGGTCATAGTGTTCTCCTCCTTAAAGGTCACCACCACCTGGTTACTGAGGCCAAACAGCACCAACTGCAGCAAAAACAGGCACGGGGTATAGAGAATGATGTGAGGACGATAAGAAGCTGTGACAAAGAAAAAACCCTTATGTGGTGCGTTACTGTTACAGCCCCTAAACAGATAATGTTTCATATTTGATATTCAATTTGTGTGAATGTTTAAACTTCTACATCATCAGCGTGATTCCCATTAAAATGTACGGAACCAGAAATGTATCCAAATCAAGAGCACCCCCAAAAAGAAATCAGCATTAAAGTATAATATATGATGTACCTGAGTGGTGACAAAAAAAATTTTGGCTAGCTGCAGGATCAGTTTAAAAGGATAGCGCCCCTTGGCATGATATTTATCACAAGGGCTCATAAAGAAGTATTTTAGCTTCCTGCAAATCGCCTCCTCTTCCTCTCCAGCGTGGACCCAGTGACATCCTGCTGCTGTGGCAAACCGGTGGTGGTTACAGTTGTTGTCATGACTGTTAATTTGATAGTCATCCTCGCCACTGCTGTCTGTGGAGCCGTAGCGAGTCACCGGAGAGGGAAGTCTTTCCCGCTCTGATAGGGGGGAAAAAAAAAAAAAAAGATTTTAATTTTTCTAAAATATATCTTTTTAAAAACACTCTTTAAATTGGCCAACAAGTTTACAATGAGACCCTGGTTGTTCGGTAAAAAAATATTGTCCGATGTATCAGTAATTTACCAATAAACTGACCTGGTCTACTAATGCAACACGTTAGTTGATAATGGTGTAGAATATATGCAAGACTAGAACTGAAATCCAACATCTGAAGCAGACTTTGGTCCAATAGAACATGCTGTGAAATCTTTCAGGTCTGGTTTTCATTATTCACATAACACAGCATTGTATCTGAGGACTGGTATTCATCAATGTTAAGAAAGGTAAACCCACATGTGCAGCGTTTTTCTCGAACTACTGGAAACTTCTCCTGAACTTACTTTAGTTTACTCACTCTTCATGCAGTTGTTTTTTTTATTCATTTTTGAAAACGCAGCTTGTTCCTCTCAGTCAGTTACACTTTGATAATCGCAAAAATCTTTGCATTTTATTGACTTTAATATAATCTATATCAGATGCTTATTTATAATGATAACATGCCTTGTTGTGGTGAAATAAAAAGATGAACTTAACTGCTAAACTTAAATCACGATAAGCTGAAAAGGCAAAGGCAAAGATAAATTGTGGCAATGAAGTAATTATGCAAAACACAGAAATTCCTTTTTGTGCAATCAAGCAGTTGGGCTGCTTTCCTTGCAACCACGTGTTGCAAGGAAAGCAGCCGTCATGTGAATTGAGCAAATTTCACATATCTAAGTTTTTTTTCAGCTGAGACCAGTCATTTATGGGCTGACTGTGCATCCAAGCATGATTGGTAAATGACTGGTAAAAGGAAATTAGGAAATGAATGCATTTTCTGTTATTTCTGACTATTGAATAAAATGTCCATGCTTGAGTAAATGAAACTCCACTTAACGGCATTTTACAGTTACAATGTTGGTGACTGAAAAGAACCTCTAGGCCTAAAAGTCCTCTCTTCAGGAATAACACTGCAATCATTTCCTGGAATACGTGACTTAATCTTCCCCAGACTACTTCTAGAAACAGATTCCTGAACACACCACGGTTTTCTTGGAACCCATCATAGTCCTCATTGTGTCTAATACTTTCTCTTTATCTCAGATCTCATTATCTCAGTGAGGTCAGCTCTGCATCACACGATAGCTAACCTGTCCAACTCCGAGTCTATTCAGACTCACGTGAAAGAAGAAATGCTGCTCTCAATTAACCAACACGCTTTTAGTCTCTAACGTAGTTTTTTTAAATGACGCCGATTCATACACTCCGTTTAGGTTTATTGAGTAGTTTTACTTTCCACTTTTTCCTTCTTGAGAAAAAAACCCAGAAAAGTTTGTGAGAAAGTCTGAAACTCTATATTCCTGAAGAGACTGCTCTCCCAAAAGAGTCATAAGAGACTGTTGCAGATATCAAGTATCTGGTTTCTGCGATTGGTAAGAGATGATAAATCTGGCCCGACTTTGTTAGCCACGGCTAAGAACAGAGAAGTAAGGGCACACTGATTTTGACCTCGGCCCGATGATAAGGTGCTTTTGATATCAAATGCAAAACACACTGTGGTGTGATGTTTACGTGTCATGGGTTTTTGCAGTTGAAATTACACAAACAAGATGTCAGGTTTAGTTTTTTCCTTCTATGACACTGGTTATATCAGATAAGTTACATAAAGAGACGTTATGACGCTCATGAAATCCTTAATGTAAGTCTGATGGAGAGTTCTGGAACATCACAGATAGCAGCTGTTTCGCAGGTATATATCAATGACAGACAGGTACAGCTGTGTCAGGTTTTTCAGTCCTGTTGCCACAGGTGTCTAAAATCAAGCATCTACGCATGCAGTCTGTCTTTACAAACATTTGTGAAAGAAGGGGTGGCTCTAAAGAGCTCACTGAATTCGAGTGTTGTACTATAAAAGGATGCCACCACTGTAAGACAGTTCATGGACTTTCTTCCCACCTACATATTCCACAATTAACAGAAAGTGGTATTACTGCAAAGTGGAAGCACTGAAGAACTACAGCACCTCAGCCATGAAGTGGCAGACCACGTGAAGTTACAGAGTGGGGTCACTGTGTGCAGAGGTGCATAGTGCGTAAATGTCACCAGCACACTCCTGACTCTGGCATTAACATCAGCAGAAAAACTGCGCCAGGAGCTTCATGGCATGGGTTTCCATGACCGAGCACTTCTTGTATCTAATATCAAATTTAGATAAATGCACTTTAAAAGAAAACCTTTTCTCTGATGAGCTGAGTGAAATGTGTGTTAATGTGCACGTGTGCAAATTAACAAAACCCCTGACTCTGTCGGCACTTTGAACTGAGCCAGATGCTTTAAAAAAATGATAACACTTCATCTGTTCACAGTAATCAGCAGCTTTTACATACTGCAGACAAACACACACAAGATAATTATACAATAAATATCAAATATAAAATGATACAAAGAACGTGTCCATATTAAGTGCATATGCACATATCAAAACTTTTGTTTTGTGAATGTCCATACAGATCAATTGTATTTTACTCTTTTAAATGTTTGAAATAAATCAATCCTATCCATTCATCCACAAGACAATATATCATGTTTTAACACTGCCTTTATAAAAAAAATAAAAAAAAAAAAGCCCCACTCACACACTGTGACCCACAGCTAATACTTGTCACATGTTTTTTGGTTCGCTTACCCTGCTTATTATAAAGAAAGGAACACAGAACAGGGTCATTCAGTTTGTTCGCTTTATACTGAGGAAACAACACGGTGGCAATAAACCTAAAACTCTTTACGTAATCTGTTTACTGACCTTTAATCGACAGTTATGAGTTATTTCTCAAAATGATCACTTGCAAGATCACTTACACGATTGAATTAGGGAGGCAAAACCTGTTAATCATACTCGACGTGTCAGCAGAGCAAACTACCAGCTTAGCAGTGTCTCTTGCAAATGGGAAGTAAAACAGGAGAAGTAAACCCTGTTGTGTCCAGTATTAGTCAGCATTACCTGTAAGAAGAAAGTTCAGCGAAATAACTTTACACAGCAAAGTTTGGAGCTGGAATAACGCCAGGTTTGTCGTGCAATATTCCTTCACTTTGTTTATAAGATTACCGTTCCTGAAAGGAAAAGCCTCTTTTTGCAAGTAATTACCCGTGACACAAAAGTAAACAAACAAGAAACCTCAAAAGGAGAGAACGGCTGTTAGTCTTACTTCTACTGACGTGGATGCAGGCGGAAAGTTTTGACAGGTGATTGATGAATGGCTTCTTGGACTGTTAAAGGAGCAGTCCGCATGCTTTTGTTTCAAGTGACAAGCACATCTGAGATGTATTTAAATCAATGTCATAGTTTAAATGTCACAGTTTTGCTTTTTTATATCTAAGTTTGAGTAAAATACATTGCTTAATTTAGGAAATCAACAGTAAAAGGAGATTTTATGGAATCTGCATGTGGTAAACTGCAGTAAACCAAAGCCATATTTGTAGGGGTCACTTCCTGCTGTAACCAACACCTGCAGTTAACCTGTGAGAATTTTTGGCTGTAAAGTTAAATAAATAACACACCAATGAACATTTGGTGTTAGCACAGTATGATGGAAACAGCTTTTTAATTATCTCAGCTAGAAAGGAGGCCGGGCTTTGGTTGCGTGCCTCGGTGAGAGGAATGTGAGGCATCCAAAAGAATCCAACAACTTAACATTTTACGCAGACAACTGGGGCAGCATTCATTTATATCTACGATCGTAGGAGTGCATTGATTGACATGGCAGATAGCAATCAGACAAACAAAAGTGGGCGCAGGCCAATGACTAAGCCATCCCATTTGACACTTAAGAGACAGGATCTCAGATGCTGCAGAAATCTATAGAAATATCTGGCTCTTCTGGTTCACTGTCGCCTGTGGCACTCGCAGAAACACTGATAAAGTTGCCTTTCTATCAATCAAAAACTGGAAATCTCTCATATCAGTGTTTAGATCTAGTCTAGTTGTCCAAAGTAAAAGGCCACACACAGGCTAAGAATCAAACTCTTCCACTTATAAAAAAAAACTTAAAGGAAAAATCTTAAATGAAAACAGAAAGACTGGCAGCTGTGTTCAGGGTTGTTTTGCACGTAGGAAGTGATCCATGAGTGAACTTAAATTGGTCTTTGTTCTGCAGCAATATGCTTAACTTTAGTCAAGTCAAGTTTATTTATGAAGCACATTTAAAAACAACCAAGGCTGACCAAAGTGCTGTACAATAAAATACAAATATAAAATACAATAAAACGCAAGTACATAAAACACCTCACTGATAAAACAATAAATTAAAACAACAAGTTAAACCTTGCTAAAAGCCAATGAGAAGAGGTGAGTTTTAAGAGCAGTTTTAAAAGTTCTTAGGCTTGTGGAGAATCTGATGTGAGGAGGTAAACTGTTCCACAGTCTGGGTGCAGCCACAGCAAAAGCCCTCTCTCCCCTAGTCTTTAATCTGTACCTGGGAACATCTAAAAGCATCAGGTCTGCTGACCTCAAAGATCTCCTGGGGCGGTAAATGCTAAGAAGCTCTGCCAGGTAAGGAGGTGCAGTACCGTTAAGAACCTTAAAAACCAGCAGTAAAATTTTAAAATCAATCCTAAAAGCAACTGCGAGCCAGTGGAGAGAGCAGAGGACCGGAGTGATGTGGTCTCTCTTTTTGGAACCGGTCAGCATGCGAGCAGCAGCGTTCTGCACCAGTTGGAGGCGATGCAAGAACAGCAAACAGAAAACAGGTGGAGTGACAGCGAGCCGAACATACTGGCGCCATCTTGTCAACTTTAAGCATTTGGTTAAGATTTTTTTCAGGTTTATCTTCTTTGGAAGTGAAAAAGCCCTGATAATGGTTTTATATGCTATTTTTTTTTTTATATAGCCATCTCTCAAAGTTGTTACAAATATGTGAGAAACTAGAAGGTAAAGAAATACAAGTTAAAAACTCAACATCCATCCATTTTTCCTCTTTACAGGAATGTCATATGGGTGGATTGGTGGATAACCCCACGCGCTCACACCCACAATTACAGATACATTTAGGATCACAACCTAATAGGCATTCCTTTGTCCAGAACCCGCACACACAGGAAAAGCATGCAAATGCCACAAAAAAAGGCTCCAGCAAGTCAGCAGGTTCAAATCCAGAACCTTCTTGCTGTGAGAGGACTATGGTAGTACTGCACCATGGTGCTGCCACTAAAAACAAGTTTAATGTCATTTTACTGCTTAGAAAAACTCAACAGTTTATCATAGTTCTAGAAATATTGTACACGAAGTCACGAAGATGTCTGATGTACAACCTGAAACTACAGTCTGTGCACATGAGTAACTTGTCACCAGCAAGGGGAGGGCGAAACAATCCTTAATTTTAAGTTATTGCTCATACATATTTTAGGAATATTTAACATGTGTCTCGTTGAGGTTTGTTGCTTACTGTAAGTTTTCAACACTGTCAGAAAGTCTCAAAAGGTTACTTCAGTTAAGTCAAATTTCTTCTTTTGAGGTCAAAAACAGACTTTCACTATCAGTTGGAAAATTCTCATCAGCATGTCTCACTGGAGCTGTACTTCATTTTATACACACTAATAATCCATCAGAAAACAGAGACTCAACCATGCATGTAAGTAGCTTATCAGACAGAGGCAGTGTGACTATGCATGAAAGACTTCGGATGCTGATTTCATAGATTTGCTAAAAAGGGTGGTGGTCTTCATGGTTGTAGTGCAGGATTTGATCTGGGTTTGGGGAGACAGTCTTCATTACCAAAGTAATACTTTTCCTTCACTGGAAATAACTTTATACACTGCTGTACATTTTAATCTATAAAAACAGTGCATCATTTATCAGCAGATTCATATTGGCTGCAAAATAGTCAGTAAATCAAGTTTTAAAACAAATGAAATTAAATGCTGTACTCCCTTTAAACACTTTTGCAGTCCACACACAGCTTTCAAAAAGTAAAGTTTCAAAAGTACAAGAATGTACAATAACACTACGACTGTCACCTTCTTATTCTGTTACTTCCAGTACTGATCCCCATACCCTTCCTATAATGTGAAGACAGTTATTGGAAGAAAGGTTTGCTTCACAGGTTAGCTTGAGACTATGATTAGAGGGACCACTATCACTGGCATTATTATGTTGAAAACTGCATATGGATGATATTTTATTGGAGGATTTCACAATAACTACTAATTAGTACCAAGGCATCTAATTTTATTATAATCTAGTAATTACAGTCTGGAATGCATGCAGTTGAAGGTAAGATCATTAAAAACGAAAACAATGACATAACTAACAATCATCTTTCATTTTGATGGGTCTGTCAGAGTTTCAAGATTAACCAATAATCCCACCGTTCATACATCTTAGAGAAAGGACATTATAGGATGAATCCACACGAGCTAAACTTATGACAAAATACAAAGATATTAAATGCAGTGTTGCAAAATTAATAAAAACAGCAGATCTTTCTCTTTGTGTCATAATGTGTTTTTGATTTGCATTTATTGGTTTTTAATGCTCTGCGTTAAAACAGCGCCCCGAACAACTTCTGTGTTAATCTTTTAGAGTTAAACATGCAGTATATCATGTGATCATGTCCGAGTTGCATGTCTGATGGAGGAGCAAAAGAAGGAAAATCCCACTTTGTCAACAAGGATTCAAATATGTGGTCATGGAGCAAAAAAAAGAACTGATGTTAGCGGAACATTTGGACACAAAAACCACTTGATGACACTGAGTGCTGTACTTAGCAGCCCAGAAGATGACAGAGCAGAAAAACAGTTTCGTTTGAGGTTGCAATGTTACTCAGGTTTAAACTTATTACCTGTTAGCTTTTAAACACAAAAAAATCAGGTTGAAGCTAATTTACGCATCGCAAAGAGCCAGCAGCAGGGGAGTGTACTAGAAACCAAAGTAAACAAAACCACAGTCGTTACGGATAAGATAAATTAAGTAGTTAAATGTTAGCGCTACATTACCAGAGGAGTCCTTCCGTCCTGTCGTAGCCATGTAGTTATCTGTTAAAATACATAAATAGGTGAAGAAAACGGTTAAACCTATCGCCAAGCGAGTGCTTTCTCGGGAGCTGTAACTGTTGATCACTGACGAGGTTAAAAACTAAAAGCGTTTCCGCTCTGTGCAGAGCACGTGACCTATATCAATTTTGACCACGTGACTCCTGCAGGAACCCTCTCGCGCTGACATTTTTAACAGTTTATATGGTTTTCTATTTTCTAATTCGTTTGACTATTTGCTTTCAGCTTAGTTTATTTCCGTTTCCAGAGTTTTCTTGTTTCAGGTTAATTTTTATTGTTTGATTATTTGTTTAAGTTTATTTCTTTTTTTCAAACCTCCCTCAGTATCTCACTATGGGAAGCGCCCTCTGGCATGGCCAATCACGGAAGCTCAACAAGGAACACGTGGGTCCAGGACAGCCCAATCACTTCAGGGACATGGGGTCTGACCCGCCTATAATGACATTTTTGTTTCAACATTCATTAACCGCACAGAGAAGGTATCGTTTAAACATGTTAAAATTTTCTCTAAGCAAACAGTATTATTAAAGTTCTTCATGACTGGGCCAAGTGTTCTCTTTTTTGGAAATCAAAATATGGTCACCCTAGCTTATAATAGCCCCCGCCCCACACCACCCCTTGAAGATCATAAAAGCTTTGTGCAGAACTTTGTGCACTAATTAATTAGACTAAATAATTATTTACTTTAGCTCAAGTTATTACGTTCGCTAAAAAGTTGGGATGCTGTGTAAGACATAAATAAACCTAAAATACAATGGTTTGTTCATTCTTTTGGAACATCCATTCTACTGTAATTATATATTTTCGTTGAGGAAATATATTGTTTTACTTTTATTAATATTAAATTATAATTATTAGTACTTTTAATGTTAGTTTTAGTCTTTCTTAAATTATCACACTAGTTTTGCTTTTTAGTTTAACTTTGATTAACCATAGCAACTTTGTTATCTAATGTTTTAAAAAAAAAAAAATTAACTATTCAAAATCTACATCTACATCCTCAATAAAATAAATAAATAAATAAATACCCTTTCTGGACGGATTTAATTGCAACGAATAACGGAACAGCACCAATGATGAATAGATGAACCAGCATTGCAAATAATGGACCATCAATGATGGTAGGAAAGAAGCTGCAGAACTGCATTTGTGGCTGGTCAAAACTAACAACTGACATGGGCCGTAAAATCCACCAAGGCAGGAAGAAGTGCCTCAGCGAGCTGAGAAAGGGGCCTCGCATTGACACATACTTTTTAAGAAGTAAGTCATATCAGTCGATGGAAGTCCAGAGGCAGGAGAATCCCCACAGTCCTCAGGGTATCAGCACCCCGTTCGAAGTTCTTTGTCGTACAGACCCTCTCATAGTCTCCAGATTGGACCTCAGTCAGATCCAGCCAGTAGCAGTTCCCAGTCTAGAGCTTAGTCAGCCACACCCAATATTAGATTCTAGCCCAGGACCCGGCCATTTAATATCAGCCCCTAGGTTGGAGGTTAGCCACCAACAGCTAGCAACACATTTTGTACATATTGTACATATATTTATTAGTTTCAGATGTAGCCATTCTTGTATTTTGCTTGTTTACATTATTGTATTTTGCACAACTCTGTTGCTTGTGAAGCTCGCACACAAGAATTTCACTCACATGTGCTGTACCAATGTACCTGCACATGTGATGTGACAATAAAAGTGATTTGATTTGATTTGATTTGTGTACAGATGTAAGCCAGCCATAATCAACACCATGTTCCAGCCCAGAGCTCATCCAGAAACAACCAACAGAATCTTCCAACACTGAGTCTAGCCAACCACTACCAGCAAGGGAAAGGAAGATAGAAGGTAGGAAAGATCAGATTCTGTGGCCCAGAGCCAATGAGTAACCAGTTAAAGTCCAGGAGACTGTGGGAAATTGACAGATTAGTGACAGAGAGAAGACAACTGAGGAAACAGTGGAGGAGGGCCTTTTCTACAGCAACCCATACAACTTTGTTATGGGCCTTTTTGTTGAAGAGAAGAGCGGGTGCCTTAAAAATGCCCATTAAAGACCTGGAAGATCATCCGAGAAAAACTTACTCTGAGGATCCAAGGCACGAGCCAGTTACCATTCCGAGTAATATGCCACCTATCCAGGCACCTGGACACAAAATGGTCAAAGACCACCTACATGGAGTGACATAGAGAAGGTAGTGAAGCAGGCAAGAGCAGCATCGGCTCCAGGACCTAATGGCATCTCATATAGGCTCTATAAAAACACCCCCACGAGTCCTCAAATACCTGTGGAAGCATGCCAGCGTCATCTGGCACCAGATTCAAACTGCCAAGAAAGAACAAAGAGACCTTGACGTGGTCTTTTTAGACCTTGCCAACGCCTTTGGGTCAGTTCCGCACGAGATCTTGTGGACCTTCAACTATTTCAGCGTACCAAATCACATCACAGGACTGGTCAAGACCTACTTTCAAGATTTACAGTTTTGTGTGACAGCTGAGAACACCACCACAGCCTGGCAGCACCTGGGAATTGGGGTTATGGCAGGCTGCACGATTTCCCCTCTGGCATATATTATGGCAATGGAGTTGGTCATGCGGGCATCTTGGTGGGTAGTGGGAGGCGAGAGACTCAAGAGTGGCCTTCGTCTTCCTCCCATTAGAGCCTACATGGATGACATGACCATCATTACAACAACAAAACCATGTACTAGGCGATTGCTACAGAAGCTCCAGGAAAACATCGAATGGACAAAAATGGAGTTTAAGCCAAGTAAATCTCGCAGCATCTCCATCATAAAACGAAAACTGACAGCCGAGCAATTCTATTTCAGTGGAGAACCAATTCCAACAGTCTTAGAGAAGCCCATAAAGAGCCTGGGACGGTGGTATAATGCAGACCTCAATGATTCGTGGCAACTAGAACAACTAAGGCAGAAAATGGCTAATGACCTGAAGCGGATTAAAAACGCTGCACTCCCAGGGAAACTGAAGCTTTGGTGCTTCCAGTTTGGGTTATTACCCAGACTACTGTGGCCGTTGACAATGTATGAGGTCTCACTCAATCATGCCAATCGACTAGAGTGGCTAGTGAGCTCCTATGTTAAGAATTGGCTCAGACTTCCCAAATGCCTCAGCAGCGTTGGACTCTATAGCGACGGGATATTGTCATCGCCGATCAGAGGACAGGCACAACAGCAGGCTATAAGAGAATTAGCTAACACTGCTGAGAGGACCAGTCACTGGCTATGGTTAAAAAGGGCTAACATCACTTGGGCAGCTAAGGCAGTCAGCTAACCGCGCGAGAAGAAAATATTCCGCTCTTCTTCCCTTTTCTGGGAGGCAGTGGGGAGGTAGAGCGTACAGCCCGATACGGCGGGGACTTGGGAGGTGTCGGAAGTCAGATTGGGTGCCCCCCTTCCGGCTCTCCTCTCTTCTCCCTTTTGTCTTACTTCTCTTTATCACCTTTTCTATCCCTTTGAAGAAGTGAGGCTCCATAAATGCTAAAGAGGTAATAATTATTATTTTTTGGATGCAGTGAATAGATAGGAGGAAATAAACTGTAGAAAACTAAACAGAAGAAAGAAGAGGAGAAATGAAATAACAATTTGACATAAACCAGTGACACACTCCAGGGCCTGATCAACCCTGGCAGGGCCTCCTTGTGATGATGGCCAAAACACCCGATGAATCCAAGGTCCACTACTGACGATGTGTACCAAATCTTAATATGATAATCTAGATCAGATCTCTAATCCCCAAAAATGGCAGATTAGCTTGGGTAAAAGACTGAAAGTTGAGGCACACAACGATGTGTGCTGCCGGTAGTTTGTGGGCTGCCTTTCCTCATAACAGCCATCCCTCAAGATTCTCTCCATTTAAAGCAATGCAATATCAGGGACTATAACATCTAGTCCTTTTACTGAATAAGGGAAAAAAGTTACAACATAAATGCATAGTCACCTGTAAATGAATTATAGTAGTAAGTACAGTTTAGTTTTGAGACCAAGAACGGTCCAAAGTGATTTACAGAGGTACAGAGGTACATGGTTTTTAAATGAGGAAATAAATGAAACGTTTCTCATACCAAAGGTAAAGTGGACATATATGTGCTTGTCTGAACAGATGAGTTTAAAGTACTTTTACAGGATATTGTATAATCTGAGGTCCAAAGAGATAAAAAAAAAAAGAAAAAAGAAAAAAAAAGTAAAAGTAAAAGGCTTATAAGTAAAAGGAAAATAGAGATGGGACTATTTCCATAAGGTCTTAGGGGTGGCTTTCAAGGCAACAGTCCTGAGTTTAACAGTATTTCTTAAATGGAAAACAAAAGTGGTTCAAAGAGTTGATGTGAGCATCAAAACACTGGTTAAAAAAAAAGAGCATGATGAAAAAGATTCCATTAATAAGCTTTTATGATTGACGAAAGGGACTCCAATCCCTGTCTGATTTGGGCAGTAACACTCTCGTTAGCGATAATTAGACAAAGCCTTGTCCGCAAAAAAAGTGAACATGTGAAAATTAACTGAATGCAGTACAAATTTAATTTGTTTTAATAAGGATTACTGGCTAAAAAAGGGCCACCCTCGGCACCTGACTCTACCATTTACCACCTTCCGTGCTGTGGAAATTCTTTTATCCCGTTCTAACTTTCAGTTGTACTTTTGTCATGCTGGCATGTTTGCGATCATCAAATTTTTTAAAATTTAATATAACAAATATAACCCAATTAAATACGATTTTTAAAAAAAATTATTACATTTTGTGACGAACATGTGACGAATATGCAAAAAAAAAAAAAAAAAAAAAAAGAGAAATGAAGAAATAAGGAAATGGGTCAATACTTTTTTCACAGCACAGCATTTACTTTCATATTTGTGAGTTTAAGAAACAAGAGCAGTGCTTTTATTTTCTTTCTGAGACAAATGACTCACTGCCCCTCCCTGGTTTACCAATACTGAATTTTCTAGTTTCTGGTGAAACCACCACAGTTTCTTTTATAAATACCAAAAAGTAAAAAATAAAAAAAAGACAGAAAAAAACCCCATTCCCAAACATTTTCTTATACATTTACTTATATTTTATAATAACAAAATGCATGTACAAACATTATTTAGCATAAACACATGCTAACCGCAAAGCCGCTGCCTCACCTCTTGAATAGGTCGAGGTAGCAGCGTTGCGGTGACCCTGCAGTACAAACATGTGGACACCTGTGCTGACATCAGGCCTGCCAACACAGATTCAGTCACTAACTTTAGCTAATATGAGGAAATGGGACATTTTCTATCAGCTGTTTGGTTTGGGAGCTGCTGATGTCGGTCTACATTGTGTGGTAAAACAAAACCCCTTTTTTAAGAGCACTAGAGCAACAAAGGCTTTAAATAAAGAGCTTGTAGTGTTTTGTTTACATTCTGAACTCCTCCCAAATCTCAACCTCCACTGAAAGGCTGTAAAGTCATGTTCTTCACAGCTTTGTTAATCCTGCTTCTCTAACATAAAGAACTCGTTTTATAGTTGAACGTGAATTTTAATACCACTTGAGTCCTGAGAATCCATAATGACGACAAGTCTCCAGCCATTTATCCAACTCCCTCCTATCTTCCTTCCAGTACTTTGTCTCTAGCGACGACAGCCTCATCGAACTTTATCATGAGCGTGGTGCCCTTGTGCCAGTGGACGGTGACCTTGGCGGGGAAGCCGCTGTGGGTGAGAATGGCCTCTATGATCCCTCCCGTGAAGGCCGCGCAGTTTAAGGTGCTGTTCTCCTTGGGAACAGAGATGTAGGTGTTGACGAGGGGCTCCTTCTCTATGATGTAGTAAGTCTTGTCATCGTCGTTGGCTTGCTCAAGCTTGTCTGCTTCCTTACCAAAGAGTGATCTCCACACAGATACCTGAGAAGGACAAAGAAAATGACAGGATGACAGGGGATTCACAAAACATGTGCAATCCACTTTATTTGCTTTGGGAGAAAGTGTGCAAAGTGACAGGCAATGACTTTTTTCTGCAGCTAAAGGTAGAGGCATAACAAAGATAACACAACTGAGATAAAGATTTAAAAGAAAATGGCAAAATTAGTCATTTAAATAGTGCCAAGATCTAGTTTACCTTTGTTTATGCAAAAACTAATGTAATTTCCATGTGTCTGTTACGCAACATGGGACAGACAGTGATGAACAGTTTTAATCTTTCAGAGCTCTAACATGCAGTCACCTCATGAGCAATTAAAATTCAGCACCGAGCCTGAACTAAGCAGATTAATGAATATATTTACATATGAACTCAAATGATCACCTGGTGTAACATTATGATATCCCTCATCTCAGACTGGAGTTTTAGGTTTTGCTGAATCAGCAAACACAAAGACAGTCTGGCTTTGTCAAACATGGTAAATGGCCTGTATTTGTATAGCGCTTTACTAGTCCCTATGGACCCCAAAGCGCTTTACATTCAGTCATTCGCCCTTTCACACACATGCTTCCTACTAAACCCCTCTAGAATCTGTAAATCAGGGCTAAAGCCATCATGGCTTGCTTGAGCTCTCCCTTTACATGAGTCACTTCTTACAAATGACTTTTCCTACTGTAGGTTTTTTATGACCACAGAACTGCTGATTAGAGATGGGTACCGGTTCTGACATGAGCGGTAGTAACCAGACCGAAAAGCAGCGCACATTTTGGTGCTGTATTTCGGTGCTTTTTTTTCCTGAGATGTCACACACTTTGGATTCTAGCCAATCATTTTACCTTTCCAAGGATAGTAGGCGGGCTCAGGTACGTACGTTCTTTTAGAGCAGAGCTACAGATTAAAAATGCCCAAGGCGAAGTGGTCAAAAGTCTGGCTGTACTTCACAGCAAAAGATGCAAACTCAGCAGCCTGCAACAAGTGCTTTAAGGTGATACTGAAGTGCTTTAAGCTGATACTGTGCAAAGGAGGTAACGCCTCGAATCTGACGAAGAACCTGGCGACGCATAGCGTTTTGTTAAAAGCCGAGAAATGCGCCGTATTTGATAGCTATTGCGAGACCTCACATCGAGTACATCTACTGCGGGAAGTGGTGCCTCGGACCCGGAGTTAGCAAGAACCCAAAGGTAGAGTCCTGGCCCCTAGCCCTGCCAGTGTAGCAGAAATGATGACGGATGATGATGGCAGCAGCAGCCGTTCTTCTCTGGGCGAGTAGCTTAATGTTGTTCGTGTGTAATTTACGTTGAGTAGGCTAACCACGTTATTAAATTAATGCATGTAAGGTGAACTAGCAAACACCGTCGTAGTTACATGCGGCTGTCTTCTTGTTTGATGGCAGATACTCCCTTCACCCTGGCCAAAAAGGCTAAAATGACCAAAGAAAAAGTGGAAAACAGCTAAACATGAGAGGTTTTTGGACAAAGTTTGTGTTTTTTCCATTGTTTAAGCACTGCTTCCAGCCAAGAGTGATACCATATATGCCCCATAGCTGCAGAAAAGGCTAACATTGTTATCTTTTTACAAAAAAACAGCTGAACATGAGAGGTTTTTGGACAAAGTTTGTGTTCTCGATTCTTTAAGCACCGGTTCGAGCACACGTTTAAGCACCGGCACCGTTTCAAAAGTACCGGTTTGGTCACTGGTATCGATAAAACCTAAACGACACCCATCCCTACTGCTGATGTTCTCATTCACAGAATATTATGTGGAGCTGTATTTACACTAATATATGCTTGATTTTAATATTCATCATTGCAAAGTTATTATTAGTTAGTGAGGAAGGTCTTTGTGAGCGGTCTGAATGAAAACAATGAAAACCACACACACACACACACACACACACACACACACACACACACACACACAGTATACCTTGATGAACAGCAGTATGTTTAGCACTTTGGTCTCCCTCTTGCCGTTTTTCTCCCTCAGCACCAGCACGTCCAGTAGGCTGCCTCCCACTCGCTGCCCCAGCTCCGCTAGGCGAGCCTGCAGCTCGGACACCGAGTACACACGGCTCTGGCAGTACTGCACCACCTCTGAGAAGAGCAGGGTGAAGGCGCTCACGCTCACCTCGGTTTTCGGCCGGCTCAAAGGCCTCTCGAGAATAGCTGACTTGCCTCTGGTGAAGCGAGCCTCCATTATGATTTAACGGACAGCTGTAAGAGGAAACACCGAGGAGATTATTATTATTGTTAGTGAGGCTGCAACTAACTACAGGCTAACTGCTAATGCTAACCAAGGTGCTACAGGCACGCGAGAAACACAAAAATGACATTTACGAAAATTATTCAGTTATTAAAATTAGTATCTCTCAACTCAGCTTTCTTTAAGACTATAATCAACACTCACCCGATCACTTCCTACACCTGAGTTGTTAAGGTTTGAGTACTTCCTGTTTATTAAAAACGTAACCTGTCACATGACCTCACCGACCGATTCACAGCTACGGAGTCCACGAAGTCCCGCGAGGGATTTATTTATTGCTTTTTGGCGGGGTAGCTAGCTAATTTGACTGCAAAGTGTGTGTGTAGTGTGTGTGTGTGTGTGTATATATATATATATATAATATATATATATATATATATATATATATATATATATATATATATATATATATATATATATACAATATAATATAAATATATAAATAAATAAATATATATAATATATATATATATATATATATATATATATATATATATATATATATATATATATATATGTATATGTGCTTGTGTGTGTGTGTATGACTTGTAGTCAATAACCTAAATGTTCAGTTGTTCCACGAAATAGCAGTTTATTCATTATTTGCATTATTCCAATATTTACCCAGTTTTCCATCTATGCATTATGTTCTATCAAAATTAGACAGTTAATTCAAGATTTTGGTTTAACAAACCTAAATGTACATGATTGTATGAATAACCATACAATACAAACCAAATCAGCTTGTGTTGTTTTTTGCCACCAAGTCCACGTCTACTTGTTTGTTCATGTGACTAAGCTGTTTCCCGGCACTGGTGAGCACATAGCAGACGTACATATTACAGGGGACAGTAAACATTAACCATAACTGACTTTATCCCTCGCTTCTATTGTTTTTGTCCAGGCATATACAAAGGAAACTGCATGAAGTAAAAAAAAAAAAGTGAAACATAAATAATAATAATAATAATAATAATAATAATAATAAAATAAATTTGTGATGAAAACTGAAATAAATGGAAGAGAAATTTTGCTCTTTGATGTGCTGTAGGTTAAATCAATATTTGGGGCCATCTGTGTACAGAGAGTACTCTTCCCTCTGAGACAGAGCACTGCTGTCATGCACGTACACCTACTTAAATACACCTAGACAAGTGAGGGAGCCCCACACATTTTGGATTATTGCAGAGATTCTTTCAATTTCACTGTTTAGGTTCATTTGTTTTGCAAGAATAAAAATAAAACGATTTAAGAAGCACTAACCGGGAGATGCAGAATGGCTTTCTGTGGACTCACATTTTTTCTTCTGACTTTATTTTACCTTGTTACTGTCTACAGCAGGCCGACAGGTAAGCGCAGTTATTTAAAACATGCAAACATTCAGTTATCTTGCATTAGAATTTCCATTACAGGCCACAGTGTACCTGCTTGGCATGTTGATAAGGAATATTTTCTCTTTGGGCAACCTGATGTGCTTTGACTCACTTGTTCCTTGTTATCTGTAATCGGGAATTTTCTCTCTTTCCTTTCTTTCTCAAACTAAAAAAAAAAGCTTTCCCTCTTTCTTTAAGTATTGGGTTATTAACTGATCAATTAGAAAGGCTATTCAACTGTTCCCAAAATATAGGTCTTAAAAGAGTAAGACAAAGACATATACTGTATTTGGTAGCACAAACTCAGTATACTATGGAAGTGTGTCTAATGCCTGATCTTAAATATACATTGCTTCAGCTGTATGTTTGAGCTCCTCCACTCATTCTCTCAGTGTTGGTATAGTTCTTTCCCATCTGTATAGCATGTGAGGAAGTCATGCTAGTTATAGGGCAACAACCTCTTGTCGTGCTATCAGTTTCCACCTTCTTTAATCCCCAGTTCATAACTTAGCTGATGTGAACTCTATATCACCTCAGACAGACTCTAATGCCTGTAAATTGCATAAGCTGTTAAGACAGATAAATGAATGGTTTGCTAAACCGGCTTTACACTAATATTGAGCAAGGACCACTGTTTCATTCTGAAGTAATTGAACATTTCATTCACTGAGGGATTAATGCACTTTTCTCGGCTTGTGTTGTTGTCAGGCGTCCACCTGCGTAACATGGAAGGCTTTATTCAAGCCGTGCAGCAGGTTGAACACTCCAACCCTGGTCTGCCCCCGCTGGCTCTGGTCAGGGCCTTGCGGAGGACTGCAGGCCATGATGACGTGATGACCGTCCATTTCTTGGGCGCTTCCAATAATCTTAGCGATGCTGACCTCCTGGAGACGGCCATTCTCAACACCTCATCCTTCAGCTTTTTTGATAAGGCCATCCACCACATTGTGACGGACCATGGAGAAGAACGAGGGGTGGTTCTCACAAGAGATGGAACTACGGTGGCGCTTGTACCCTTATTACTAGGAATTGAATCAGGACTGAAAGCCAAGATGGAAGAGGTGGCAGCAGCTGGGATCTTCCCTCTCACCTTAGGCAGGACACTGGGCTTATCATTTCTCAGCCTCCAGGACTTCCCACCATCTCACCGTTTGGGGCCTGACGGGTGCTGGGACAACGTGGAGCACCCCAGGGTGTTCAAACTGTCTCAGCCTGCCACTCTAGCCACCGATGCCATGATCAATGGGGGCATGGATGGCCTTATACTGGGCACAGACCTCAGCAATTTAACTGCATCTGAACAGCCACAGGCCCTCAGTGAGATTCTGAGAGGATACTACAATTTTACTCTGAGTGAGGGGCAGGGCATGGATGCTGTGAGCAGTCAGATTAGCCCAAGGAGGAGGGAGCTCTCTAGATCCATCCTAGAGTCTGTTGATCTTCACAGCCAGGTGATGGAGACACTAGCATTGGTCTGGAAACTGGAGAAGACAGAATGGATTTCTATGGACACTGGGGTGGGAAAGGCGGTGAAAGATGGATTGGAGACATTTGTCAAGAAGTACTGGGGTGAGCTATGAATGAAGACATTTAATCATTCTTTTGTGCAAGAGTCTAGTGAACCTGGATGTTTTCATCAAACTTTGCAGTTAAAAATAATCAGAATTAAATTTTTGTTTATGAGACAAATATTTTTGATAAGGATCTAAAGAGGATAACGTCACAGTAGGTTAAACAGTAATGTCACCATGAACTCGTAAAAACCTTGTAAATTCAAACATATTTTTTACTTAACTATCTTTAACTTCAGTTAACATTTGTGTATTTTGGCTGCTGGCCAGTTGAAAAAAACTCAATTTGAAGTGAAAGCCAGCACTGAAATAGTGCAAGGCTTTTACCAACATTATTATGAAACTCATTATGAAGTTTTTAACTGCAATCGCATGTTGTGATCACTATGCCCGTGGAGACTGGATTAAATCCACTGTTAAATAGTTAGGCCTCATAGAGGAAGAGGTATTTCTTTTATAGTATTTTTTTAAGTTTTCAGTCATCTTGGTCCTGTGATCCATTGATACTTTATACTTTAACGGCTCAACTTTAAAATGAATAAAAAGACACAAACCATTCAATTTTTTAGTCATGGAAGCTCAAGTTCATTCTGGAAATGTTAACATTCAACATTTCAGTCCATTTACAAAACAGACTGAAAGAAGTATGTTTCAGTTTTTCCACATTCAGTCAAATGTTATTACAAAGGAATTCGTCCATGCTTGGCTTAGCTGCCTTGCTTCTGGTGTGGGAAATGTAATTTCTGTAAGTTTGCAAATTATTCAGACTTTTGGCTCTGATAAAATTAAGTGTGTGGACAACAATTTCATGAGATTATTCTAAAGGACTTACTGCACAGTCCTTCCTGGTGCAAACATTATGCCATCCTCTTTCTAAGCAAATTTCACTTTTGAAAATGTCCCACATTTGTCAGAACAGTTCTGGCAGGTCTCTGCTATATTCATTATCTATAAACTGTAATCAGTTTTTCAAACATCACTCCCACGTTGCGGATGTTTCAAAGGTCAAAGCTCCATTTCCAAAAAACTGCACCAACCACAAGCAGTCATCTGGTAAAAACACTGACAGATTTTAGACCTTAAAGAAAGATGTTGTGTGCACTACACTGGGAAAAACAAGCTTGTTTAAGTAATAAGCTCATTGATGCTGGACAAACTGAGTCATTATTTCCGAGCTGTCACAAAGACCTTTTTTTTAGACACTAGCCCATATGTTCTGTTGCAGCCTATCAAGGTCTGGAGTGTTATTACTTTCCTAATCCTCACCTTGTCTCCTCCTACCCACAGACTGCCCTCAAATCATCCCTCGCTGTCAGTGGGGGGCAAAGCCCCACCGAGGTACACCTATCCCGCTCTCTCTTCCCCTCCAGTATCTGTACATTCATCATACTTATGAGCCATCATCACCCTGCTTATCCTTCCCAAGCTGTTCTCGTGACATGAGGTCCATGCAGCGTTTCCACCAGGAGGACCGTGGGTGGGCTGACATCGGATACAGGTAACAAAACTTTAAAGGAATCATTGGAAATCTAGGGAAATGTATTTTTACACGTTGTTGCAGTGTTTGTTAGTTGTATACAACAGATGTATACAACTGTCACTGCCTCAAAATATGGATCTGCTGTAGACAGGTGCTGCCTACTCTTTAGCGACCTTTGAAACTAATCACTATAGTTTGCCTTTCCTGTAAAAATGTCAAATTCTGGTCATATTCTGTCAAAAATAATTCTTCTAATTGAACAAATTCTTGTTTTTATACTTTTATTTTTGTAAATTGTAAGATTTACAGGTGCTTGAAGTGGTAGGAAATGAACATGGGAGTGGTGATTCAGAAAAAAAAAAATCTACAACAGAAAATTCCTAAAATGCCAAAACATTCATTTAAGTAGCCATATTTCATATCTATGTTATTAGCGGGAGAATTTTCAGGAATGCTAACTGCATGCTGTTAAAACACTGTATTGCTGAAAATTCATCACATATGCTGGAATAAATTCTCAGCATTTTGCTCTATTTGTCTGCAGACTAGGAACCATCCACCTCATCCATTGATCACCTGCTCTCATATTTTTGCACTTTCAGCTTTGTGGTCGGGTCTGACGGCTACGTTTATGAGGGTAGGGGTTGGCATCATCTCGGCACTCACACCAGGGGACACAATGCCATTGGGTATGGCGTGTCAATCATCGGTAACTACACTGCCACCCTGCCATCTCGCTATGCCATGGACCTGCTACGTCATCGACTTGTCCAATGTGCTTTACACGGAGGAGGACTGGTTTCCAATTTCATCATCCATGGCCACAGACAGGTGGTGAACTACACCGCCTGCCCTGGAGACGCCTTCTTTTCAGAAATAAGAACCTGGGAGCATTTCAGCGAATAAGAAGACATCCACAGGCAGCATTCTGTCATCAAAGGTTCATCACTACTTTTGGAAATGTCTTATACTCTGGATCATTCTATCTTATTAATGTAGAGGTCACATTTAAAATTTGCATAGTACAGTGCAGAAAGAAATGAATTCTGCTTAGATCCAGCATACAAAGTGGTACCATGATGTACTACACCTATTAATCAGCTGGTCAGTATGTTTATCCACCCAATTATCAAATGAATGTTATTTATCAGTCCTCTGGGTGATATATGGGTGGATAAACAGTCTTAATTATCAGGACTCATGGTGTGGCCAGTACGTGTCCTACTGTTCCTACTCGCAGGCTCAGATGGGAGGTTTCAACAGGCAAATAACATTCAAAACTGATGGCTTGCATTTGTTTTCAGGCCGAGCTTCACATTACGATCCATTCCAAATAATGCTAAATACAAATGTTGCTTTGTACGCAATGCTTCGTATTAACTACTCAAGTACTGCTTGCCGATACCTTAAAACTAGAGAAAAATATATGCTATTCATTTGTAAATGTAGTTACAAATAAAAATTAGTGTACTCAAAAGCAACAGTTCAAGAGAATAAGATTTATTTTTCTTTCAGGAAAAACCAATAAGGAACAAACACTCGTTACTGAGGATGATGATAAAATACACCTTTGCTACATATTAGTGCTATGAGTACATGTCTGATCATCTTATTGTTCATTGTCTGAAAGCTAAAAAAAAAATGTCTTCACAAAACAAAATTTTCCATTCTGTTTGAATTTTGCAGGAAGCGGACACACTAAAGAGAGACGAACAAAGAGACGGTCTAATAGTGTTTAATGTGACTGCGTATTATGTCAGTTTGTTCTATTGTAACAACAATTGTTGTTGTAACGCAGATACTGAGGCAGTCGCGCCAGAATGTAATACAAAAGAGGATGGTTCTTGAATACAAGGAGGGAGCAAGCCAGTCAGAAACCCAAGGCACAGAGATGGTGGGAGGTCTGATCCGAAACAGTTCATTTCCAGGCCAGGAAGCAGAAAATAATAATAATAAAAATTATAATAATAATAATAATAATTATAATAATTATAACAACAATAACAACACCTCTTAAAAATGTATGTAATAAAATATTGTCAGTATACCAAAATCCCCATGGAGACTAAAAACAATTCTAAAACCCGTAAAAATAAAATTTTCTACATTCATAAGAATCCCCTGATGCAATTATGCCACACGTTCATTATGGGTCCACCAGCAGGCCAGGAATTTCTTCTCCAGAGCGGAGTCCATGCCAGCCGAGGAACCTCTCATCCTCCTCTTGTCCCTTCACTGGGCCCATCACATCCCATCCCAGCTCGCGTTCTGCACCCGAATCAGTCATGCGATGCCACCACGGCTCCCCTCGTGTCAGTGCCCTGTAAATAAATAGGGGTCAGAACAATGGTCCCGGAAGCTGCCCTGACTTATATGCATGGCGACCCTCACCCAACACGACTGCACCCAATGAACGACAGTGTAGACACTACTCACAAATGCAGGTAGAGGTACACCTCTGCCCTGCTGCCAAAAACACGTGTTGTCTCCTACTGTTGCCGTTCCTTGCTGTCAGGACTGGGTCGCCACGTCACACTGATTAGGCGTCGCACCCCCACGATCAGGCAGCGGGTCCCTCTTTTCACGTGGCCTTCGCACATTCCTCCTCATTTCGGGGGCCTCTCTCCTCATAGTGCTCCACTAGCCTGCTTTTAATTGGTCTTTAAACAGCTGATAGGCCACCTCTGGACACACCCATGCCTCAGCAGGTGATCCCTATCAACTAATATATCCCATGCTCTGCCACGCCACGGTGGATTAAAACCACGTCAAATAAAACACTAAAAACCATGCGATAGAAACAGAATAAAACCATGCAAGTAAAAATTACACTCATAAATAAACACTAAAAATCAGAATAAAATCAATATAGAAGATAAATACAAATTTCCACTGTGTGACACTATTACAGCTGTAATGGTCAGGATGTGCTGTGTGGCAGGACCCAAGTGCAGGACCCAAAAGAAGGAAGATTACCCGAAAGTGCAGCTTAGTTTTCTGTGGGAAACACAGAAAACAAAAGACGAAGTATAGTGACTAGAACTGACAAACCAGGGACTCGGGGAACTGGAAAACAAGAAACCAAAAAACTAGGTGCTACAGAGACTGGGAAGACAGGCAAAATGAGGCTACAACACGACACAGAGCAAGGAAAACACAGGGCTTAAATACACACTGGAGTACTCAGAGACTGGGGGACAGGAGGGTAACACAGCTGGGAGAAATCAGACTTAACGAGACAAGGGAAGCAAAACCAGAAACACTGACATGAGACATGGACTTTTAAAGTAAAACAGGAAGCACACGACAGGCACAGAGACAAACTGGGAGCTTAAAATACAAAAAACCAAAACACTGGTAGTAATAAACCAAGATGAAACCAAAGATTGATCATAATAATAATAATGAAACAAACCAAAACACTGAGTCACTGACCCAGGACAGTGACAGTAACACTCGTGGGTGTCTCTTTTTCTTTTTTGATTCAGAATGACTAGTTTATGGCCCAAAACTGTAGATTTGTGATGCATGTTTAACATTTTTAATGAATGCTATTCCATTAAGAGGTCATAGACCTCAGTCAAAATGTCATTGGTAAATTAATTTCTGTATTTATTGAAATTACGTTAATGAAATCGATGTCTATTGTGTGTTTCTTTGAAAAAAAAAGAAAGAAAAGAAAACACAGGTGTAAAAATCTATGCAACTTGATTTCAACAGGTCACTCACTTTTGCTGGGACCAACAGAATCCCATGAGCATGTTTTCTCATGCTTCTGCACTTTAAACTGACCCATTTCTCCTCATGCTGACAATAAATAACCTGATCTGACAGATTGTTTACTGTGCAAAGTCCATCATATGAACGCTGCAAAAAGCTTTCCAGAGGAAAACACTAAAGTAGCTATGGCTTCACAGTGCAGCTGTTGAGACAGTGAACCCAGAGAGACATCAGCACCAACAGCTCGCCAGTCTGTGTGACAGGAGAAAGCTTTTGATAAAGATTATGCAACAAAACAGTCTCATCAGCCACACCTGGGCCTGATTACTGCAAGACCTGTTCAATGAAAAAATCATGGAAATAGAAGCTGTCTGACTATGTAAAGTAGGTGAAAGGATCGGAAAGAGCAACACATCATGCCACAATCTAGAGAAACTCAAACCAGATGAGAAACAAAGTTGTAACCAGTCTGGAAAGAGTTACAAAGTTATTTCTAGGTCATCGGGACTCCAGCAAACCACAGTGAGAGCTATTATCCACAAATGGAAAAACCTTACAGCAGAGATGAATCATTAGTTATTATTAAGCTCTGCCTGTCTTCAACAGCATGCCTTTTGTCCCGTCTTCCTCTCCTCACCCCCAGCCAGTCGTGGCAGACGTCTGCCCCTCCCTGAAGCTGGTTCTGCTGGAGGTTTCTTCCTATTAAAAGGGAGTTTCTACTTCCTACGGTTGCCAAGTGTTTGTTTAAAGGGGGCCATTTCATTGTTGGGATCTTGGAGTGACTGTTTTTGTGATTTGGTGCTATATAAATAAAATATAAAATTTAATCAAATTAATATCTGTTTAATATTAACATTTGTTTGATTAGTGGAAATGCGTCTCGCCCTAAGACAGCTGGGATAGGCTCCAGCTTCCATCCGTGACCCTGACAAGGATAAGTGGAAGAGAATGAACGGATGGATGGACGGATAGGTAAATGTGTAAACAAAATTTAGGACATCAAGAATGGGCCAAATATTTTCCACTGGACTGTATGTGGTGTCAAATTCAAAGACAGACTTGGAGTCCTAGTGTGACTCATTGAACCATTAAGAATTTATCAAAGAGTATCAGCAGCCCTGAAACACGTCAGCTGTTGTTTAAACATGTTTCTGTTTCATTCTTTCGTGGTTACTCTGTAGAAGACATCAGCACCATCTACAGGTTTAAGCCAATTAGTGCATCTGAGAAAACCATAAAACAACGAATTATGTACAGTATTAAAAAAAAAAAAACTAAACATAATTATGTGTATAGATTGGATTAATCCGGGGCGTTGTTCAGGGGCTTTTACAGGTTATTGGATATGTTCAGTTAAGTGTTTTTTGTTTGGAGCACTTCTTATCGTCATTTTACATTCATCCCATTTAATTCTGAGACACTGAAAACATCTCTGTCCTGTCGCAAGGACCTTGGTGGATTTTATAGCCAATATCTGCTTTTCTTACTGGTGCAGTAGTTTTACTGGAACTTGTACATGCAGCACACTTCTGTATTTTTGTCTGCAGGAGGGATAGCAGCAGCACATAAACACGACACAAATGAGGGAGCTCATTATGCTGTATCACTAATTAAGAGTTGTGTAACAGTAATAAAAGGTTTTTAATTGCAGTGGTGCTAAGGTGGCATCTGGGTTGTGATCATTTATTTGACACAGAAGCTGCTCCACTGCTATTAGAGTGAGAGGTGTAATTAAATCCTGTAGTTTTGCCAGTCTGTGTCAAAGTTCTGTTTCTGTGTGCTGTAGAGGAGAAAACCAAAGTCCATCTACACATAGACCTTGGACTTCTGTGCTCACATGGGCAGACAACGTTCTCTGTTTGGGGGCTGGGAGTTTCTAAATAAGTAAGAGTTTTAATACTGAACTTCCTTCACCAGCCAAACAAACAAATATTACTAATATTAGTATTAGTATACCTCAAACTACTTATACTAGGAAAAAAACTGAACAAAACAAATTATAAAAACTAAACAAAAAATACCACATGTATCAAATATGCTAAGTAACCTTGAGGTGTAATGATTACATTTACATAAGATAAATCTAGCTTTAAATAAATGTGCACATAATATCACACATTAATGAATTACAGGTAAGAGTACAGCCAAAGCCGCAGTAATACATTTGATCGGTACAGCTAGCACGGTGTATTTCCTTGCAAAAACACAGTTTAACCAGAGGGTGGCGCTGCACAGCCAGAGATCATATTAGTGAGTTTTATATCGCTAACCCTTCTCTTTGAGCTCAGGGAGACATGAAAGCTGAGGTTTTGGACCCGGGCTTTGAGTTTTTGGAAGTTTATGAATCATTTTGTTTTGAGTGAGTCATATAGCACTTTATAATAATGTCACACTATTAAGCATTAGTAAGGTATTAATAAGCAGTTAATTGAGCATTTATAAAGTTTTATAAGCTTTTTGTGAGTGTGTTGATAAAGGTTTCATTAATAGTTATTTCATATTGTAATTCATGGTTAATTCAGGCAGTTACAAGTGAATTAAGTATTTTGTGTGAGCTCATGTCAAATGAGGACTATTTATGCTTTATAAAGCATTTATTAACAAAAATAAAAGTAGCTCGAGACTCCAGCAGGTCTCAGATATCTTTATAACAGAAAAAGATTGTTTGGCTAGCTGACAATATGGATAAGATGACTTCTTTTAGATTTCAGAAATGCATTAGAACTACACACTCTGTTAGTCATATTTACTTTTATAGGAATATTTTTGTATTTTGTTTAGATTCATTTTCCTTCTTCTTTATAAATATGCTCTGAGATGTCAGATAGTCATGATGGCGCCTGTGTGTGTGGCTCGCCGTCAGCTGTTACCTGTTTTTGTTTTTTATTTTTTATGTTTGTAGTTCAGTAAAAGCAAGTGAAAACTGCAGGCTTTTGTTATTTGACCCGTTTAAATTCATTTTAATATCCCAGACAGGATTAAGGTAGAGTTTTTTTTAATATATATTTTATAATTTATGTGGCTATAATACATGTGTAATATTCATTTCACCCGTTTAGTAATAAAAATCAATTGAAAAATATATTTAACACAACTTTATGTGGTTAAAAAAAAGTAATAACAAAGCCAATATAACATAACGCGATAGTTAAAATCCTCATAGATCAGCGGTCCCCAACCTTTTCTGCACCACGGACCGGTTTAATGTAAGACAATATTTTCACGGACCGGCCTTTAAGGTGTCGCGAATAAATACAACAAAATAAAATGACACGGCCAAGACAAAAACTGTAGTATTTTGTAAATATATTAATAAAGGCAAATTCACTGTGTAATTGTGTAACTTTATTAGCAGCGTCCTCCTGAAATGCGCCAACAACATTGAGAGTAACATCCTCCTCTCTGCCCCTTAATGCTCTCTGGTCGCTATGGTAACGTGTAGATATTTCTGTCAAAATAAGACGCACAACTACAACCCGGGAAAAGACCCAGGGAAACCGAGTTAATGATAAAAACCCCGAACACCATAAATTTCACACCTGAGCCTCAACTCTCACGGCCCGGTACCAAACGACTCGTGGCCCGGGGGTTGGGGACCGCTGTCATAGATCATTCCCCATTTTTTCCAATACAAATAATGGCAGTAAGAGCCAGTTTTAATAACCTAAAAATGTCTCATTTTGACCTTTGAATCAATCTATTGACCTTCAACGAGAGGTCAAAGGTCAAATGTAGTATATTTTAAATTTTACACAGTACTTTCTATATGATAATAGACATGACACTTGTAAGAATCATTTCTAAGTTGTAGTTTTTTTGTGTTATTTTTCAACCAATAAATCATGAAGTTGACTTTTAAGACTTTGGTGGCTTTAAGACAAATTTGAACAAATTGACCTCAATCTGCACCCTTACAAAGCTGAATCAGAATTCATTCAAAACTTTTTCCACTATTGTGTGTAGAAACAGAATGATGCACATGCGATTGCTACCAAAAACATAACCTCCATGGTGGAGATAACTATGACAGAAACATGACATTCTAAAAGGATTTGTCACAATCTTGCATACCTGAAAATAAACCCAGGCCAAAATCAAACTCAAACTACTGTCCACTTTGTGCCTGTGTGTGTGTGTTTGTGTGTGTGTGTAAACAGAGGTGCATCTCCAGGCTCCACTGAGCTACACAGCGCTCTCTTTTGGCCTCGGTGCTTTTAATTAACTAGAAAATCTCAAAAAATCTCAAAAATGAAATGAAAACATTTGTAAACACATGCTGATCACTGTGGCAATATTGCTAATAGTGTTTTTGCAAGCATTTGTTTTGAAATACAAGGAACTGCCCAGGAGTTAAACCATGTTTCAGAAGCACCGTAAAAGTTCAAAGGGTCGTCGTCCATCACTTCCTGTTTCTTGCACAATTTAACACCGAGGGTGTTTTGACCGCATGTTAGGACCAGTGGGAGGCTTGCAGAGACGTTATTTACTGCCCTATTTCTAAAACATACTAATGTAAATTTTGAAATATCTTTGCATGCCATGCATAACCAAATGGTAAAGATCTCTTCTTAAGTATGAACAACATCATGTTAATTTTAAGTACTTACTTTATACAGTTCGGTCCATAATTTGCTGGACAAAAACAGATTTTGTGGTTTTGCCTCTGCATACAATCCCACTGAAATTCAGATTAGTATGTGACTGAAGTGCAGGCTGTCAGCGTTGATTCAAAGAGTTGAACAAAAATGATGATTCATGACTTTAGACAAAGTTGTCTGTATTTTTTGTTTTCGGTTTCAATAAAAACAAAATTACCACAACAGTCGGATACGTGTGGTGTGAAGAAATCTTCTGAACACAATTGAGTAAAATCAAATTAAATGAATTATTTTACCATTTGAACAGATGCCAGAGTTTACTTCCCCAAACAGGCTGAAATGTTGATTCACTCTGACTCATGTGGGATCAATTGTACAAGAGGAAAAACTTGATAACTTGGCTTCAGTTAAAACAAATGTGTAACCTTTGCAGTTATGCAATGCCACATAGGAGAGGGGGAAGCACTGCTGACCTTTGTATATTGAGTGTGCCATGTTTAAGGTGGATAAGTCATGTTACCCTGAATCCAGTGCAGAGCTATCATAGTTTTTTATCTTTTAGGTTTTTATCTTCAGTTCATTTAGATTTTTTTTGCTTTTGGTTCAGTTTCGTTTCAGTTCATTTCCTGATCGGGTTTTTCTGGTTTCAGTTTAGTTTTTATTGTTTTAACGTGTTTACCTTTAGTTTTTATTAGCTCAGTGTTAGTCTCCACAGTCTCAATAGACACACAAGTTTTAATAAAATTATACCAAACTAACAAATATTACAACTAAGGATATTTCCTCTCTATGTTTTTTTTAATTTTAGTTGTATTTAATTATAGGTTTCCAAAGGTATTGAAGTAAAGCCTAGTTTTTATTTTTAAGTTAATCGAAATGTTTTTTTGCACATCTAATTTTAGTTTGGTTTTAGTTAACTGTTAAAACCTTAATCAAGTACAACAAAGAAAATTACAACTGTTGCTATACTACTCACCTCTAAGTTAAGTGCACTTTAAAAGCCTTAATTTAGATAGGAGGAGGTGTTTATCAGACCCTGTCTTTGCACGATACACCTTACTTTAGCAAATCTTAAAACGAATAAACTCAAAAGAATTCCCTATCAATGTTTCTTTCTTCTTCAATTTTTTTTAATTATTACAAAGTTAAGAGTACATATACACAACATTATACTATATTAAGAGCTCAGCTTTTGTTGCACACAGCACTGCTTTTATTAATATTTGAAC